ACTACTGACATGGGTGGAGAATGACAAGATGCTGGGAGAACTAAAAAATGGGTTTCGTAAACGAAGAAGGTTGGAGGACAATCTGTTTTCACTGATGCAGTGTATTGAATTAGCGAAAAAAATACACAGGCCCCTGTGCCTGGCATTTCTGGATATCAAGGGAGCTTACGATATTGTAATTCAAGAAGACTCGTGGGGAATACTAGACACACTAGATGTGGATGATGAAATAACTGATCTTTTAAATGGTACGTATAAAATTAACAATGTAGTTGTCAAATGAGAAGAACAGGTGTCTGAACCTATAGAGATACAACGTGGGCTTCGACAGGGATGTCCCTTGTCACCTTTCTTATTTATGCTGTATCTCCAGGGATTAGAAGCCAAGTTAGAGGGGAGTCGACTCGGAGTCAGCCTCTATTTTGCCAAGCTAGGAAAACACATTGAACAGTCATTGCCAGCATTGATGTATGCAGATAATATAGTATTAATAGCCGACCACAAGAAGGATCTGCAGAAATTGAGAGACATCTGTGGTAATGAGAGATATAGTTAATTTTGAAGTTCGGCAGGGAAAAATAGGCAATCATGATTTTGAATGATAACAAAGGCAGTGAGCATAAGATACTAAATGTCACGCTAGAATAGTGGGTAAATAACGGGGCTGAGTATCTAAAGAAGCATGAAAGATACGTAATGACTAAAAGCACGAGGAATGCAGCTGTAATAAAAAATAGGGCACTGTGAAACTACAAAAGGTATGACGTTGTGAGAGGGATTTGGAAAGGTGTCATGGTCCCGGGTTTGACGTTCGGTAATGTGGTCTTGTGCGCAAAATTTGAAGTTCAAGCAAGATTGGAAATTAAACAGCGTGGCATAGGTAGATTTGCTTTGGGAGCACAGGGGAATGTCCCAAATCAGGGGGTACAGGGAGACATGAGATGGACATTGTTTGAGTGCAGGGAAGCTAGCAGCTAGATAGAATTTGAGGAGTGATTGAGAAAAATGGGAGAGGAGCATAGGGCTAGGAAAGTGTTCAGTTACTTGTACATGAAGAATGTCGATACTAAATGGAAGAAACGAACTAGAAAATTGTCGAGCAAGTATTTAGACAACAGCATAAAACCAAGCCCAAAGAAAACATCGGTTAAGAAGAAGGTGAAGGTAACAGAGAGGAACATGTGGAAGATGAGAATGCTTATGAAATCATCACTGGAAACCTACGGAACTTTTAAGCAGAAAATTGCAAGGGAAAAGATTTACGATAATTCTCGGGGTAGTCCTCTGCTCTTCGAGGCTAGAACGGGAGTACTGAGGACCAAGACGTACTGAGCAACATATGAAGGCACAGACACGGTACGCAGGGCGTGTGGAGAGGAGGAGGAAACGGCTGAACATTTGATAATGTTTCGTAAAGGGCTCCACCTTATAGTCGAAGATAATGGCGCGGAATTTTTCAAAATTGCGGTTTAGGAACAGTGAAGGCAAAATAGACTTTAAACGAGTAGAAATAACCAGGAGGAGGCTAACTGATTGGTGGCTACAATCGAGGCGCGAGTGAAATTCAATCCTTAAACACACAGCGATAGTACTTAACTTTATGGCTTGGTGGCGTGAGCTACCGCCCGATCTAAAGGGCACAGCCGGATACATCTACCCATTTATTCGTTGAGATGTCTCGCTAGACAGACAGACTCAGACAGATACAGACAGATACAGACAGATACAGACAGACACAGACAGACACAGACAAACAGACAGACAGACACACAGACAGAAAGACGCACAGCTTTACCTCCGGAGCTTCAACAACTCGTAATCATTCACTCCGTGCGTTTGCTGTGATTTCTTTAAACACGGTAGTCTTCCTTGAGATACTTCAATGCAAAAATTTTGGTGCCTGCCTGCCTGCCTGCCTGCCTGCCTGCCTGCCTGCCTGCCTGCCTGCCTGTCTGTCTGTCTGTCTGTCTGTCTGTCTGTCTGTCTGTCTGTCTGTCTGTCTGTCTGTTGAGGCATGCACCGAGAACCGAAGCAGGTCAACAGGTGAGAAGGCCGTGTGCACAAGGCTCGATTGTGGGGCCACCCATAAAGGAGGAGTTCAATATTGTCAATTTTTGGCTATCTGCTCTAACATGAGTGTTGAGTTATCTCAGACCATAGGCGCCTTTGTAGTCGACTTGCCTGTCTAGTCACCGATGTGCACACAACCACTGTACTCACGAAAAAAAAAATCGGCACATCTCCATGAAGTGAATCATGACGAGTGGGCGAAGCACTGTGTGTCGTGCCAGTATGTCACTGCACTTAGCCATGCGTTGCCATTGGTTAATTCCATGCCTAATAACCCGCGTTTATCTCTTAGTCACGAATATTGATGAAATCGTTTTCGCATGCATCTTGAAGTTCGAAACTCATTCTTCTCGTTTATTTCTGTTGCCGAAAAATTTCCCTCCTATTTGTGAGAACGTATTTTTAATCTGACAGAGATAGAGGGCGTGAAACAGTCTTTTTTTTTCAGAAGAGGATTCGGAGTGCGCTCGACCAAATTTTATTTTTGGCAAGGTACTGAAGTGATGCAAATGTGAACGAATCTCTAATGTATAGCAATTCTCGGAGGGCTTTTCGCATGAGCGATATTGAAGAATGTTGTGGAAAATAATTTAATTTTTTCGGGAACATAGCACGATCAAAGGGCACAAATAAAAAAAAAGTCGCAGCTTTGCCGCAAAGGTGAAGCAATGAACGCGTTAGCAACAAATTGGATGGTCGCGCGCAGAATGGTAAGCAGATCTAAACGTGCCCCGCGTTTTTCACGCACAAAGGACGCACGAAACGTACTCACAGGTACAAATTGACGCGAATAAGCGTCCCAGTTGTTACTTCGCAGTGTGTGAAAATCACGCCCTTTTCGCAAACGGAGGCTGTGCAACGATTGCAGTGACCTTTGTGTGCCCGGTAACTACAACAGAATAATTCCGGTGAAACTCCAAGGCCAGCCAAGACGTACAATTGTCTCCACCGCAAGATAAGAGCGAACGTTAGCGTCCACCCTGCTTCTTCTCCATGGGGCAAAGTCCGCGTGGGAGATGAGAGCATGCGCCGCCGCGTCGTGATGATGTGGCGATGTGCGCTCATTGCGCCATTTTGCTGGTAATGCTGAAAACAAAATAGTTCCCTTGGAGATGCCCCTCACCAGCGGTAAGTGGTAGATATAAATAGCTTGCCCTTTGAACGTAGGAGGTTTAAATGGCAAGGGGTTCGAAACCACTGAACGACCTTCGTAATTCAGTAGTTAACACTTCGCACTCACATTTCATATTGCCCATGTTAGATACCACGCGCCGGAGGCTTTTCTGAATTGTGTTTCTTGAGTGTATATATATATAGATACGTATTCATATACGGTGAATGATGGCGACACCAATGTCAATGCCGACGACAAATCCAGCCGAGAGTGTTTATGAAACTGCTATCGCAATAATGCTTTAATGCCGAGCATTCCTAAAAAGTCTGTAAGCCCACTTTAGTGAGGTTTCGCCAGATTTTTTGGTCGGTCTCCCACAACAGATTTTTTGTACAAAAATCAAGCACAGAAACTGTATAGTTTTGTAGCATACCAGGTGAAATATGCTATTTGAAAATCTTACGATTTGTGCATGAAATGGAAGTTCGCGAACCTCATATAACAGGTTAAATTTGTGTGTGGTTGTGTAATACGAATGAAGATATGTTCATCAAATGAAAGGCGTCACTGTTCAGTGGCGCTAAATATGAGTTGCAACACGATGGCTATGGTTAAAGCAGCCCAAAGCATGCACTGTAGCACCGGCAAACATGTAATTACATTTGCATATAGCAATTGTCGAAAGCGTCTTTAAATCTCTCATTGTTGTAACGACCGAAGAAGGCAAAGAGGAGACAAGAGTTCAGTTCTTGGAAGTGGAGGAAGGAGAAGAACTGAAATAAGCAGTAATGGCGATAGTGTTGGATTTATGATTGTGTCCTTGTATTTATTTTTTATGTTTGAGCCACAGTACCATATTGGTGCCTCGTTTAGCACGGCCAGCATGTTGCAACTTATATTGGCTGCGTCTGTACATTCCTTCCTTTGAGTCTTTGCATCCACATGCAACGTACTTTCACCTTCAAATGAAACCCGAACAGTGGCAAGCATTTGCAATAGCACAGTGCGTTCTCTTCATACCTTACCATTGGCAGGCACGTGCGCCCGTTTCGCAGCACTTAGATTAGGTGGGCTTGTTCATTCTGACGACTCCATGGTGTACACCATGCAGTCAAATCCCTTTATAAGTGACACTGGTGAAAGAGACAATTGGGTATAAAGTACACCAGTGTGCTCATGGTAAAATAGGTGTTGATAAAAATATATATGTGGTTCCCTCCTTTTAAGAGGCACCTTATATAAAAGACAAGAGTTGCTCCTCTGTGCACATCTCTTATAACGGGCTTCAAGTGTACCATAGCGAATGCTTGCCACTGTTCGCATTTCGTTTGGCGCTGATATAACATATGGGACCATTTCGTGAAGCGCTGCTCCATGGAACCATCCGAATCTACACAGACATTTTCGGTGCTTTGGTCAACCTTTACTTCTCACCTTCGAGTTACACAGGCTGTGTTGAGTAGTGCACTCGACATCTGCTTTTATAAACACACACTTCTACGTAGGCGCTGTCGTAGGTTTGTCAGTGTAACTTTGCTTCCTGAAAAGAGTAAGCTTTAACGAGATCGACGAAATACGCGTACATATTTTGCTGCTGTGTCTTACCACAGAACACCATTCATTCTAATGCAGCGATACGCTCATTTAGTAATAGCGGACTGTTCAGGTTGATATGTGCATTGAAGAAACGGTCTGAACGTGAACCACGCTCAATGGCCTCACGAAAGATGCAGTATGCGACAAAGGGCATCATACAACTAAGAAGCTTCATCTATTACGTAAAATATCGTACATGTGAACTAAACGAGGTGAAAAGTTCAAGTTCTGGCAAATAAAGATATTGTTATATGCACTGCATGTGCGGAAATTCTCGCTGTTGCTGAACAGTATTAGTTCTGGTGCTTCCGCATTCATTAAAAACCAGGGAACACCAAACAATATCGTGTACACTTGCTAGCGGTAGTGTCGCGAAAATTCACAACGCATTCTTGCACCCTACACGTCCGTTCTTGCCAGCCTACACACACACGCACGCACGCACACAGGGCAAAGTGCTGGGTCATATCACAATTGGAAGGTGCGTACGAAGAATCTCCGGAAATTTATAAGTACATGCAGAAGCACGCCGAGCGCAGCAACAATAGATGCAAGGTAATAAGAAGTGCTGAAGGCAATAACTTACGTTAAATGCATGGTGAAGTCTCGTACTTCTGCAGTCCACATACGGAATGTAACAATCCAGATCCGAGACCTACCTTGCAGGTTTTACAGGAGAGTTTTATCCCTAAAGTACACTCTACTTCACAGATTTCAAGCAGAACATCATACCCTCGAGTCATGCCACAATTCACGTGGAGCCACGATCATCTCGCGAAGCTTGGAGCTGTGATACAAACGCATGCATGTTCTGTGGCTTGAACGTTAAAGCGTAGTCATCTGTTATCTGTAAACGCTTCTGTGGCTGTTTGAACTAGAGGTATTACATAAGCAGGAGTGGTTGCTAGGAGACATTTGTACAAGAACAATTGGGAAACACACACACATGTGCGTGCCTTGTCTCACATTTTCTGTGCTAGTAGCATGTGGTGCACGTTCAAAACGTATTAATCAGCCTATTATAAGCCACGGTATGAATAGTTACTTAAGGAGTAAGTATTTTCTACCAAATGCGTGCGCACACGTTACCATTTGAGATTTTATGAACAAAGGATATCAATCCTGTAGGGCTAGAATGCACTTCAGAACATTACTGTTGCAGGGAATTACCATGTTCGGTGATTGTGCTGCATTGTACACCTACAGGAATGAGACAAGGTGCAGACACATTAGCTGTAACCGTACAAGGGTGATCAAGCATACACCACATCGTAACGCATGCTTCCATCTCTTCACAAGCATTCACAGCACATTGCATGTATGACTACTCATTGTCCGACGAGCGCTGGTCGCAGTTCTTTGTTTGCATGCTTCAAGGCGTAGCAAAGCTGGCGGATGTCGTAGTTCTGTCCACGAATTCCGCATGGTTCGGCGAGGATAACTATGGTGGCACGAAATCCATTGGGTTAATTATAGCACTACACACATCTATTCGGGCCACTCCAATCAACTTAACAAGAGTTCATACCACGACTGCGCGTCAGACGTCATTGTCACGTAGTGTCCGACTACTTGTGGCCATACTTTGTGATGTCACGGGTAGAGCACGTAAGGCGCGACGTTGGAGAGTAACATTTGGGTTAGAATGGTAGCGTGGGCACTTGCGTAGTTTCTAGGCGTCGCAAAAGCTGTCACGGCAGCGTCCGTTGCAGGCAGATTCAGGATTTTCGCACGTGTTATCCATAGTTTCAGAGCTTCTGTTCTGTCTTCTTTGTCGCAGCCAGGGTAGCCCAAGCGTCGCTTCTTAATGGTCCCCGGGGAATCTGGCAATGAAGACATTGCTCCTGGCGCGTTGTGGAATGAAAAGAAAGCTAAGTATGTTGACTAGCGGGTTTCTAAATTAGGCTATGACGGGCAGTGTTGTCATAGCATTCGACCTTCAGTGCATACTTTATTTCAGACAGAACAATCATGTCTTGCATGATGCTTCAGCCTACTACTGTCACGTCACCCACCTGGAGAGCGCTCGCATAACGCATCAGTTCTTGTGGCAAAACGAAAGTGTGGGCACAACGGATCTCTGGGGCTACCTGGTGCGCTGTTCACTGAGCCTGGTCATACTTATGCAGGGGGCTGTACGTGCGGTGCGTCGCCTTGTGCTCAAAGGCAGGGTTGTACATTGATGCCTGTTGCAGCATGCGAGACCAGCCGGACGTGGTAGTTACTGGCGAGGGTAAGATTGGCAACGCAACCGACCAGGCCCGATTTGTAGCGCCCTCTGGTCACGTGGGCAACGTCGCCAATGCCACCTGCATTGACCACAAGAAATGACGTGACAGAATACAGCAATCTAAAATTCATTTTTCTGCTTTAGTACTTAAAGCGAATCATCGTCACTTGATGGTTTCGATGAACACATTACAGCACTACAGACATCTCCCAAAGCTTCATATACCACCCTGTTGTTCATGTTCAGAAAGTGGATATGCTCTGATCATGCTGTATACCTGCTTGAAATCCATCTGGTGGGAATAATTACTGTTTGTTCCTAATTGCAGTGTCGTTAATTGAGTCATCACAACTACGTACACCTCCACTACCTGGTCTGTTCCACAGAAATGTTAGTGTTCACCCGGTCATTATGTTGCGGTAGTGCAGCACCTAAGCAATACTGATATACGCTGTCAGCCTAAATCAGCATCCATTCATACTTTGAAGGGGCAGTGTTTGCCGGCCTCAATACATTCTGTTGGTAACAGAAACATCAATAACTGTCGTTGCATGATACCGTTGCCACTGGCTGTTTTTCATTCCATGAATATCCATCACAACATATATTGACAGCATTCCCTGGGTTTTTCACAAATGACAGTGTACAGCCTTCAGCACCTTTAACACGAACACATCGATGCGTGGCTAGGACTAGTTTGATTGATGCCAGCAGCGCATGATACCTCGGTAGGCTTGGATAGTATGTCGGCATGTATGGTTAGAATCTTGGCAACAGAACCCAAACGTACGCGGTGTCAGCGTCAATCAAACTACTGCAGGACACGTGCCAGAGTGTTCTTGTTAAACGTGCTGAACAATCTATCACCAATAGTTTCTTGAATAAATGGTGTATATTTAATCCTTCACAACTAAACCGATCGATCTATATGATGAACGATTCAAGGTTCATAAAGCTGACAGTGTTCTTTTAATCGTTCATGCCCCAAAAATATTGATTCACACTACAATCAAAGAGACAGCGCTGTTGTCAGTGATAGTGTCTCGAATGTGCATCACAACTGTCACAGCTGGTGATGTCTATTTCATACTCCACAATGGCGTGATTTAATGGTGTATAATAAACCGTTCACCCTTATGCAAATGGACATTGTTCAGTACACCATTCGCGATAATTAAAACTCCGGAAGGTGGTGGCATATATTGCACCGTTCACAACAGTGCAAACTGAGACTGTGCTCAGGGCGCAAAAAACTGAAAGGGTTGATGGCGCATGGTAGACTGTTGGCGTATGCTAGACCAACAAGACGTCTGAAATCTCACGACCTGTCGTCACTTTAAGCCTTATACATTTGTGTGTTATTTCGGGTGAACGTGTTCTGATCATGAGCAAGCTCACCAATGTAAAGTCCGCTGCGCACGTTCAGCTGCCTCAGTCGTCCTGGGGACGTCACTGCCACGGGTGATGTCCCGTCGAGACCCAGCGTAGCCAGCTGACGACTTCGGCTCAAAGCTGCACGATGCCAGCGGCCGTCGTCAACCCGCGTAGTGTTCCAGCAGAGCTGCGCCTCCCCGGAACCAAGGTTGAAGCGTAATGTCAGTAGACCTTTCTCCAGACCCAACGACAGATAGTCCGATGGCGAGTACAGGGTACCACGGTTCTGTTGGCTAGAGTCTCCGGCCCAAAACAGCAGGCCGTGACTTGAGAATGACCGAAAGGCCAGGACAACGTCCAATTGGTCGCCACGTATCCTGGAATTTGCAAGTGGACACATGTCGTGCAGCTATGAATTGCTGTGCATGCAAGTATACGCGAACGTTTTGGACCGCATCGCACGTACATGTCACGTCCATACATCCCTTCTGTCATACCAAACTCGCTGTCGAACTGAACGCTCACTCCCCACTAGTAAGCAGTGTCCTACCTTCACTCACTACCGAATGCTTCGTTAACATGCACTATCCACGCTAAACTTCACGTGGCCCATGCTTCAGACATTTCTTAGTAATACCATGGCTGAAAGTATGCCCTGTAGTCCCATCCCTGAGGACCATCATTTGCATGCAACCAACACTACAAGTGCGAAAATGCTTGCAACTCCCCCCATATGACCTGCCTGTTAATATTGGTGGTTACGCCTTCAATATCATAGCCTGTACGACAGCATTCCTAAGTTTTGCTCTCAGTGGCATTGTGTAACAGTGAAGTTCCAGCAATTTATTTCAAAAAGAGCCGTACATAGTGCACTCGACGTGCTGCAAAATCAACTTTCGTCGCATGTGCGAGTTCCAGAGAGGCCGTGATCTCCGTCATCTCGGTGTCGTGCCCCTTCATGTATAAAAAATATCGTACTGTTTGTAACAGTAAAAAAACTTCATTTGGGCCCAGTTACTACATAATCTTGTGGTAAAAGTTGCAGCGCAAACAACAAAGAAAAGAAAATGATTCCGTTTGTCGTGTAATTTTTTGTGGGGCATCTTCTGTATTTGCGTTGCTCCTTTTACCTGAGCTGTTCGTAACAGTATCCAGTGAATGATAAGCAGAACAAGTCATTCGCAATTGTGTCTTAGAAACGTACCTTCGCATGATGTCATCTGATGTGTAATGTAGGTAGCTGGCTCCACCATCATTGGTTCTGCAATGGCATCCTTCACCTCTGCAAAAATCCCACACGTCTCACCTTTACTACACTCATTTCTACCATAAACTGCGTGAGCAGCAAATTAGCTGCACTGCGTCTGTTAAGCTACCGAACACATTCGCGATGTGTGTGTGCATGTAGACATTATGCGTGCGACACATCTCACAGAAAAGACGGCCGAATGAAAGCGTCGCATTCTTTGCAATGATGCACCACAGGATCACTAACTACAAATGAATGATGCATAATTAACAGTCTCGAGCACCCTGCCTCTCCATCCACTGCATTATGTTTGGCAGCATTACACATTCATACTATGAAGTCTCGATAGCCTTGGTTGCGACAGCATTTATTTGAAGAAAGACCTCGCAAAACGAACAGGCAGAGCCAGTACAATAACGATGACGATGATGATGGCCCAGAGTGGCCATGAGGCAGAGGCGAGCGGATGATGGTGATTATGATCATGCAGGGATGAGAATGATGTAAGTAAAAACGACCACACTAATTCCCCCCACTTGGAAGCGGACACCTTGGCCGCCGTAAGTCAAAGTGACGGGGAACGTCGCGTGAAAGGTTTCATGCGAGAAACGCGGACAATCGCGGTGCTGCGGTAATGGCGGTCTGTTTGGGTGACAAGTGGTGTCATTTGATAATGGACCGGTGAAGTCTGTTCTAAAAACTATGTATGGCCCGATGAAGCGCAGTTGGCTTTGTCATAGAGACCAGGAGTGCAAATAGGTGTCAAAAGCAGTACCTCGTCACCAGGTTGGAAAGACACAACGCGATGGGATGCGTCATAGATGATCTTCCGCATGTGCTATCTCGATTCAGTATTGATGCGAGTCTGATGGCGAGACTGGGCCAGGCGGGAAATGTATTCGTCGCTAGAAGACTGAAAAGAATTGCCATTGCTGTTAAGGAAGGAAACATCGAGAAAGGTTGTCAATGTGCGTCTGTACACGAGGTGAAACGGTGAGTAGCAAGTTGTTAGCTGAACAGCGGTGTTGTAGGCGAAAGTCAGGAATGGTAAAAGAGTATTCCAGTTTTTGTGGTCCGCTTGGACGTAAACGGCTATCATGTCGGCAAGGGCTCGATGAAATCTTTCTGTGAGACCATTTGTCTGAGGCTGGTAGCTTGAAGCTGCCTTGTGAGTAGTTCCAGAAGCGCGCAGTACTTCATTTGCCATTTGTGACAGGAACACTTCGCCGCGGTCACTAAGCAGTACACGGGGGGCCTCATGATGCAGGATTATGGCGTGAAGAATAAAGTCGGCAACTTCTACAGCTGAGTCTCTAATAACAGAGGACGTCTCAGCGTGTCGTGTCAGGTGGTCCGCGGCAGTCACTATCCATCGTTTGCCAGCAGATGTTACGGTGAGATTCCCGTAAAGTTCGATACCTACAACCGCGTACGGCATTGAAGGGCACGAAGTGGCTGTAGAGGTCCAGCAGGTGCAGACGTCGGGAGTTTACGACGCTGGCATGGGTAGCAGAAACCGACGTGCCGCGCTACGCTAGAAGAAAGGCCAGGCCAGTAATAATGACATCGAATGCGGTCAAGGGTTTTTTTAAATCCAAGACGACCAGCCGTCAAGTCATCGTGGAAGGCTTCAAGCAATTGAAGTCGAAAAGAGCATCCTGGAACCCAGCGCTGACCATCAGGGTGGTAAATGTGGCGGTAGAGAAGCCCATTGTCCAGCTTAAAGTGCAGGAGTGACGACGAAGTCGCCCGTTTGGTGGATGAGAAACTCCCAAAGGTGGTCCATCATTCGTCTGCAGTATGAATCGGATAGCTGACAGGAGATAAATGTTCCGTTGTCGTCCGAAAAGGGTTGCCCTATCGATGCGAGCGTATAACTTTGGTAGATGTGGCGGTTGAGTTCTCACCAATGCTGATATGGGTAGTTGGAAAGGGCAACGAGATAAAGCGTTGGCGCCTTGATGTTTTTTATCTGACCTGTAAGTTATGTTAAAATCGTACTCCTGCAAGCGTAGTATCCACCGACCCAAGCGTCCGGACAAGTTCTTCAGTGTAGAAAGCCAGCATAAGGCATGGTGGTCCGTAATGATTGTGAAGTGACGGCCGTCGGGATAGGGACGGAACTTCTGCAGTGTAGAAAGCCAGCATAAGGCATGGTGGTCCGTAATGATTGTGAAGTGACGGCCGTCGGGATAGGGACGGAACTTCTGCACCAACCAAACCACAGCCAAACACTCTTGCTCAGTTATCGTGTAGTTCTTTTCGGCAAGGGTGAATACACGACTGGCATATGCAACAACTTTCTCTAAGGAAGACTTGTCGCGTTGTAGACGAACTGCTCCTACACCAAGGCCGCTAGCGTCGTATGGAGGATAGTCGATGCGGCTTCGTCAAAGTGGCAAAGAAGAGGTTCAGATGTTAGGGCCCGCTTTACAGGTAGGTAGAATGCCGTTTGACATTCTTGAGACCACAGAAAGGTGACGTTGGAAGCAAGTAGCTGGTGTAATGGAGCAGCAATAGAGGCGAAGTTCTGGGTAAACCAGCAAAAATAGGAGGCGAGGCCAAGGAACTGCAAAGCTCCTTTGGTCTTTCGGGACGCGGAAAGTGAAGGACTGCAGAAATCTTGTCAGGGTCGGGCCAAACGTCATCTTTGCTAATGACGTGTCCTAAGACCTTGATAGATTTGCTAGCGAAAGAGCATTTCTTTGTGTTTATTTGGAGCCCGGCGCCGGCAATGCACGTTAGAACTTGATCCGATCGTTCTAGGTGCTCAGAAAACGTTGACAAAAAGTTAATAATGTCGTCCAGGTAGCAAAGGCAACTTTTCCACTTCAGGCTGCACAGCACGGTGTCTATCATGCGCTCAAAAGTCGCGGGTGCGTTGCAGAGCCCGAAATACTCACGGCTCGACCACTCCTGAGCACCTGCGTTTATTATAAGTTTGCGCCAGCGACCACAATCAATGGCAGCCAATACACCTCAACACATCGAGAGGCGCACGCATTGGGCTAGTTAGATCGTAGTTTGAGTTATGAAACACTCTCATTACTGTTTATGTATTCTCTTTCTTCTTGTTCGCCAACCACAGTGCTCTGGTGACCGATATTCACTCCGTGCACTTCAGTCAGGTTCGTTTCCTTAAGAGCACAGCTGCTACAAAAACCTCGCGACAAGACGGCAAGTGATCATTTCACACAAACACACACACACACACATTATGCCCTGCACATACATTACCAGATGAGAACTTTAATTGTCAGAACAATGTTTGTTAGGCAGTAAATGAAAGAAACCATTTGATTTTCAAATCTAGTCTGCTCGCAAGAAGTAGCATAAATAGACTATAACTTTCCATCGTAAGTGATCATTGCGCATTCTCAGAAACGCAACTCCAATATGCTATAGTTCTAGCTGTAAATTATTACATCTGGTCCTGCACTGACAGTTTCAGCATTAAAGTTTCTCTACAATATGAATGTTTCCTACCATGTCTCCTTACAGCATACGCGTACAAGTGATACGCTTCACGGTTTAAAAGTTGTGATGTGTGTCAGCTTAGAAGCAAGCTTACGTGAACTATTTCATGCCATAGGCCCTCACTGCACACGTAAACTTTGATGTCGTCTCTGTCTGTGCTTCAGCAACTTTTCCCAACAAAAGCAAGTCGTGTCCTTCCTTAGAGCCAGAAATGACTCAGATGGGACGCAATCAGCCTACGCATTAACCAAGCGGGTGTCAGTACGTCGTGGCTTTCTCACAACTAACAGTAGTTATTCGTGCAAAAAGCTGATGAATCAACATTATACACATCTGCTAGAAACTGAGAAAATAATGTCACAAAGCACGAAGTGAGGTGACGCACACAAGCACTGCCTGAAGCTAGCGTGCAACCATAAACAGTCACAGTAACACAGTAAATAAACAGAAGCGCGCACACGTAGACACAGCATGAACCTTCACCCCCACAATGAATACTGCCTCTTGACTCTTGCACCTCTTTCTGAGGCACACAGCACAATAATGGAACCATTGAAAAAGGTAGATATACCAACCGTCAAACACATAAAACCAAGGAGTAATTATGTGACTGTCGTGTTTTATTTCGCAGCACACTGCAGAACTCACAATATGCTCGCGCCTTTCATAAGGCGCATGAGCATTTGCTTCTTTCGAGATGGTTCTGAAGAAAGTGGCGCCGTACATTTGCACATTACTGTTGCGTACACTCCTCATTACTTTTCAAAGGCTTTTGTGGCGCCATTAGGACATACTTCTCTAATAAGTATTGTGTGGTATCCGGCGATTTGTCACAACTGCCAAATGCCTTTGAAATGATTGCGTCGTGCAATTTCATCGGCCACATTTCGCAAATTAGGTTGCGTGCCTTGAGGCGTTAGTGGTTTGGGAAGAAAGGAGGTCACCTTGTTCAATGAGATTGTGGATAGTAATTTTCTTTCTTTCTTTCTTTCTTTCTTTCTTTCTTTCTTTCTGCATTTCCGAATTATGCAGACTAAAGCAGCACCTCAATTTCCACTGGTTCTCAGCCTCATCATGAACCCATGTGAAAGTAACAGCTACTGTGCTTTCCCGAATGTGCTTCGTCAATGACAGCAACTTACAAAGCTGTACTAAAAAGAACACACACCATTCTGGCAGTTGGATCCGGCATAGCCGAGCTTGCAGTGACAGGCGTACAGATCCATGCGTGGCTGACAGGCACCGCCATTGTAACAGGGGCCCGTGACGCAAGGGTGAACACAGTTCTCCACGTTCACTCCTGACAGGGCCTCTTGCATCAGCCGCACTGGCCGGTTGTTGATGGTGAGCTAGATATAAAGTGAAGGTACACCGGGAATTTTAGAGGTGTGCTGGTTCTAACCTAATGCGACAAGTACAACAGAGACTTTTTGAATATATGTATTATTACTGGATTACCACGAATATTTTTAGTGGCAACTGAAGAGCAGCGTAATTACTTGTAAA